CAGGAGGACTCCTGCTGGGCGGGGCACCGGGGTGCGGCCAGCCCCCGCCCACCCCGCCCCTGTGGAGGTGACCTGAAAGTTTCAGCCTCAGTGAAAGGAGTACAGACAAGACGGTATGTCCGGTCGCCAAACCGGTTGGTCTGGTTTTCCCTAAAATTTCCCGGTGAGCTCCGTGGCCTGGGAGTGAAGCAGGCCTCCTCGCTCAGCAGGGACCAGGCCAACGAGATGTGCCCCAGTCAGAGCTGGTCCTCGCGGGGCCCTCGCTGAAGTCTCCTCCGCCTCTTCCCCGTTTCCCCTCGTTCCTTCCTGAGCACAGAGTCTCGGATCTACAGCGTCACTCCTGCCTTCACCTCACTTCCTACCTGAGCTACTCCTTCCAGGCTCCTGAGCGCAGGGCCCTGGCCCCAGGCCCCCATGTGGTTTCCGGGCTCACCGGGGCTCCGTCTGCTGAGCCTACCACGGCCAAGTCCACCCCGGGGCCCTGTGGTGGAGGGAGAGGGGCTCTGAGGCACTGGGGTGGACAAGACATCATGTGCGGTCACTGTCCAGTAAAAAGGGCCATATGATTGAGATCAGTTCGATACCAGTGCTTCAAATAGGATATGGGTGACAATGATTATCTTAAATCACCAACTCACGTGGCTGCTCTCATTCATGCTTCCTGAAAGGTGTCCAGAAAGCCCCTTTTTCCCAGGCCCAGAGCCCAGTCCAGCCAGACCACTTCTGCCACGTTAGGGGCAGCAGCTCCACCCCCAGCTCCACCCCAGGGACAGTGGAGCCACTGGAGACTGTGCCTATGTATTAGCTTCCGTGGCACAAAATGGCGAAAAGAGTGTGAAATGCTAGTGAGAGGCGTGTGCTGTAGCGGATGGGGTCATAGGCCTTCGGAGGCGGGCAGTGGACAGAGCCTTCCAGAATGGTCGCGTGTGGAGACCAGAGAGGGACCGTGTGCAGGGCGCTTGCTTTTTGTCTTGTATCTACATCAGAAACCATAATTGTAGGAAAGCATTGAGATCCATACTAGACAAAGTCAGAAAATCTAAAATGGAATTCCAGCTCTGCTATCTGCGAGTGTTTGAGACTCCAAACACACCACTTGGTATTCAGAAGCCACAGTTTCTCAACAAGTAAACTAGAGATAATAATTCTTGCTGCCCCTCTCTTGCAGCATTGCTGAGATGATCCAATTATATTGTGAATTAAATACGTTTTTTAAAAAATAGAAAGCACTTTAAAAATGCAAGGTATTTATTCTTGCCCTGCAGTGAGGGAAGATGAGAGTAATTAGTGTTTTTATATTCACATTCTCCTCCTAGACTTTGTGACAGTGAAGACGTGGTGTAGATTATATAAACCCCTAAAAGCTTTATTGTATATTGATCAACAACAACAAAAAATCTTTTTTAAAACGTGTAAAAATGTTTATTAAAACCTAATAAATGCATCTTTAGAAAAGTAATCCATGGGCTTCCCATTTTCATGTGGCTGTTGGGAGGAGCAAGAACCTCATGGAGCTGTGACCTCCCTGGAACTCTGAAAAGCCATTCGCGTCAGCTGTTGCTGTGGTCATTGGTGGTGCAAGCCCAGAGGCAGCAACATGCCCGTCTTGAGTGCCACAGACAGAGGGAGGTAACACACCGGAAGCTGCAGAGAGAGGTGTGGGTGGGACGGGGGGGCTGGATGATAAGCATGAGGGGGAAGAAGGTGGAAAAGAAAGAAGGGGGACAGAGTGCCCAGAGGTCCCTTCAGTGGGAGAGGGACCCTCCTGGCCCCTAATGGATACCCTCATCCTTTCTCAAAAGACTAGACTCTGGTCACACCTGAGCAGGGGACCTCCCTTGGGCAGAGGACAGAAACATCGGGAGCCCTGGGTCCAGAGAAGGTCGGGAACCAGAACTGGACCTGAGACACCTGCCCTGCCTCAGGTGCACTGTCCAGGCGGTAGGTCAACGTCCTGAAACCAGGGACTTGTCCACCTTCCTTCCTGATCTTTGAGACCACAGCTGCCCAAACTCGTCATCCTTCTCATGGTGGTTTTTTGACATGGATGATCCAACTCGGCTGGCTGGAGTGTCACCTTGACATCCTAGAGCGCCCACCGGGAGAGCATGGTGAAGCAGGTGACACCTGAGGGGGCTGCTGGGACAGTGGACACGTACCCCAGAAGCTGATGGCTTTTGGATGCATTCCTGGGGATGAGGACAGCACGGGCTCCCAAGGGGACTGTCTATGGAAAGCTCCCTCCTTCTCACCAGTGGTCGTGCTGAACAGGGAGGCTAAAGCTTCTCACAGCAAAAGACCAATGGATCATGAATCTAATTAGAACGATGAAACTGGTACTTCCCCATGGCTGGGAGCCGATGAGGCCTCCGGGAGCTGGATGTGGACAGACCAGCTGAGGGTCCTCATTCCCGTGGGCCTGTAGGAATGGTGCCCAGAGGCTGTCAGGCCCCAGTGGGCTCCACCCTGAGCAGGGTCTGGAAGCCGGGCTCCTGCAGGCTCAGGTGGCGCAGGTGGCTCTGTGCACACCTGTCAGGGAGGAACTGGGTGAGTCACTGTTTGGGGAGGAAAGAAAACAAGCAGCTTAGTCAGACAAGTGGAATATGGTTTCTACTCAACTTTCTTCTCCGGGTTTCACACGCCTGGGCCACTTGCTTCTGGGAATTTACCCATTTACCTGGAAATACCCCCTCTCCGCGGTTCCTTGAAAACAAAGACTGGAAACATAAGAAAATCCTTTCATTAACACTCCCCTCTCCCCCAAATATTCTAGCCTAGCCAGGAAAAGAGGTTGCTTCAAGGGGAGGAAGAAGCCATAGCGTAGTTTTCAATCGACCCCCTGCATGACGATTCTGCCAGTGGAAGGAGGGGCCCTGGGGCAGGTGAGCATTTGCCACAAATGGGATTTCCCAAGATGCACCTGCTCAAACACCGGCCCAGTGTCACGTGAGTGATTGCTAGCCCTGTCCACATCTCCGAAAGTGGACTGCAGACAAGAGAGGCTGAATACCCAGGGGGCACTATATAAAGGATATGATTATCTAACCACCAAGCTGTACCCCTGAAACCAATCCTATATAGTAAAGAGGTAATACACAAATTGACCGTCATGTCCTCACACAAGATGGCCACCCCCATGTGGTCACAAGATGGCCAGCAGGGGAGAGCAGTTAGGGGTGACCATGCCAGCAGGGGAGGGAAGTTGGGGGTGACCAGGCCTGCAGGGGAGGGCAGTTGGGGGCAATCGGGCCAGCAGGGCAGCAGTTAGGCATCGATCAGGCTGGTAGGGGAGTGGTTAGGGGGTGATCAGGCTGGCAGGCAGAAGCGGTTAGGGGCAATCAGGCAGGCAGGCAGGCGAGCTGTTGGGAGCCAGCAGTCCCAAATTGTGAAAGGCATGTCCGATTGCTGGTTTAGGCCTGATCCTGCAGTCAGACATCCCTCAAGGGGTCCCAGATTGGAGAGGGTGCAGGCTGGGCTGAGGGACACCCATCCCCCAGTGCACGAATTTCGTGCACCAGGCCTCTAGTCCAAAATAAAATTGAAAGAAAACAAAAGGTCTTGCTGATTCCTTCAGCCCTGGAGACCAATCAGACCTGCTACAGAGAAGGTGCCGTTGCTGGGTGACCACAGCCAGACTGGTGGCTCTTCGGAACCTGCATCAATTAAGTGATTGGGACAGGAGAGAATATTTGCAGGTAAAGTGTGGTCCAAAGTTCATAAACTCCTCTGATGAGTAGATTCATTTTCTCTGCACACAAGGCATCTCATGCGCATTCAGGGTAGGGCTACTATTGTAGAAAGGGGTGTTGGGAGAGACATATCAGTGGGGGTAGAGACTGAACCCCCTCTGCAGGGTAAATGGCACAACTTGTAGGTTACTATCCCCGCCCCCTGAGAATAGCAACCCTCCCACCTCCCATGTTCCAAACCATGAGTCCAAGTGCCAAGAGAGGGCCCTGGTGACGATTTGGAGAGAATTGCTTTATATTCATTCTAGAGACGCAGGCTCCAGGTTCAGTACTGGGCAGGGCCAGGTGGGACCTGCACCAACTCACTGAGAGCAGATGCCAAGTGGCTGATGACTTACAATCATCCCCAGATCATCTGCTCCTCTGTGTGTGTGTGTGTGTGTGTCTGTGGGGTGTGTTTTGTGTCTATAGTGTGATGTGTGTGTGCTGTGGTGTGTGTCATGCACGTGTGTGTGGTGTGTGTGGTGTATATGGTGTCTGTGGTGTGTGTATGGCATAGTGTTTGTGTGTTATGCACGTCGTGTGTGTGCTGTGGTATGTGTGGTGTGTGTGTTATACACCTGTGTGTGGTGTGTGTCTGTGGCATGTGTCCGTGGTGTGCATATGTGTGTTATTTATGCATGTGTGGTATGATGTGTGTTGTGCACATGTGTGTAGTGTGTGGTGTGTGTGTCTGTGGTGTGTGTGTGCATGTGCATGTGACATGGAGGAGGCAGGGGAGGCTGCGGACTGGGCTGATTGGGCACTGGGACTGGGTAGTGCTTCTCGAACAGCAGGCAGGACAGAGCCTGTCTGAGCTGCTATCAGAAAGGCCCCAGCTCCTTCCAGCAACCAGACCCGGAGGCCCAGGCTGTGAGGCCAGGGAAGGACCCGGGGAGGAGCAGCAATAACTGGTCTGCTCACATTAACTCAAAGAACACGACTTTTGTCAAAGGCATTTTAGCACAAAAGTGCGTAAGTAGGGAATCAGCATAGACTATGGGAAATAAATGGACTTAGAAGAATCCTGCCTCAGAAAAGTGTCCAGCAGCGCTGTGTCCTGGCTTTATAGGAGCGTGTCAAGGGGGACTTCCATACCTCCTACGTCTTACTGGCAAAATGATGAAAACCCGTATCATTGATCTTTGCCAAGAATTGCAATTCTTCGTGCCCACTCACCTGAGAACGGCTTAAAACCCTATACCACTATTGCTCATGAAAGTTTGACTTACTAGCGTTTTCTTCTGCAGAAAAAAACAAGATTTCTGTGTCCTCAGCTTGTCCCTCCAGCCTCCCCTCCACAGACTTCTCCTCACGGCCCGGCGTGTTCACACCTGTGGGGCCCAAACCCAACGGGGAAGCAGTGCAGCCTCCCCCGCCCCAGACAACGTCGCTGGGCTCTAGAGTGGCCGGAGGGCCAAGTAGACCTCAGAGCATGCGCAGTGGCAGGAACCACAGCAGCCAAGAGACTGTTTAAGGGCTTCCCGGCCTGTAGGACATACTGGGCTCTGGGGAAGAAGAGGGGCTCTGGGAGCAATCTTGGGGCCCCTGCGATTCCTCCTTCCTTCACACATATGCACAGAGCACCTAGCGTGAAGCTCTATTGAGGCATCTGGGATGTCAGTAGAGAAAACAGGTACAGCTGCTGCCCACCTGGAGTTTTTGGGCCGTGGGAGGGAGCTGTGCAGGGAGACAGAAGAGTGACCAGAATGCGTGAGTCATTTGTGTGATTCATTTGTATGATTTGTTATGAAGTGATAAGCACTGTGGAGGGAAAGAAAGAGAATGAAGGGAAGGAAGGAGGAAAGGAGGGAGAGAGGGAGGCAGGGAAGGAGGGAGGGAGTTTGGTTAGAAGATGAAACCGTAGAGGGGGGGTCAGGGAGCGCCTGGGCAGGGTGGGGAGCAAGGGGGCTGGTGTGATTGCCAATAGACAGGAGTAGCCTCTGAGCAAAGCTCGCAGGAAGTGAGGAGACCCGCTAGGAGGCCAGGGCAGGTGGGAGATGGCAGGTCAGACCAGGTGGTGGCAGAGGAATAAGAAATGGGTGGTCAGTTTCTGGTAAATTGGAAGGTAGAGCCGTCTGATTCCTGATGCTTGGATGTGGGGTGTGAGGGCAATGAGCGTCCAGGTTCTCTTGAATTTGTGGAAGGATGAGTGGAGGAGACTAGAAGGATGAGTGGAGGAGACTGGCAGGGAGAGGGTGAGGGGAGCAGGGACTGAAGCAGAAGTTCCAGTGGGTCCTGTTGAACTTGGGATGTCTATTAGACACCCCACTGGACTGTCCAGGAGGCAGAGGCTAGAGTGGTAGGGCTGGGAGTTGAGGAGGGGCTGAGCTGCAACTCTAAACTGACACGATATTTCAAGCCACGGTTCTGGGTGAGGCCCCACAGGGCACAGGAGGGGCCAGGACTGCACCTGGCACCTCCAACTTAAGGGGTTGAGGAGGGGAGAACCAGAACGCCAGAGGACAAAGGAAATCCAGGAGAGGGGGCGGGGAAATCGGGGTGGGGTGGGGGGTGAAGAGAATGAAGGGGAATGGGCAGCCCTGGAGCAAATGCTAATGAGGACGCAGGTCAGATGGACATGCAAACTCACCAACTCCGTCCTGGGGCTCAGAGCCACCGACTCTTCATACCCTTGGTTGTCCTTCCTGGGCTGTGAAGGCTCATCCCAGGGTTCACACTTGGTTTCCATCAAGGGACCCCATCAAGTTCAATGCCCAACGTGGTGACAACAGGGAGTCAAGGATATGAGCTTATTTATTTAGCCTCGAGCTTCCAGTACAAAGCGGCCAGCCCAAGGTTATCACAGAGAGTTAGAAAAATAAAAGCACTGCGGCCATCACGTTCGCAGCACGAAAGGCAAGGTCACCACCAGTCCCCACCTGCACAGACAGCGCCAGCCTTCCAGCCGCTAAGGCGAGGGTGCTTCCACTCCTGGGGGGCGCGGCATTGCTGTTCTGAACCCTCACAGACTATGGATCCACTGGAGCACTTTCTTTCAAAACCAAATAAAAGAAAACAATCTAAGGGTATTGATCAAGGAAAAGCCCAAATAAACCCGTTGCCCTCCAAATCACCCTGACGTTGCCCTCCAAATCACCCTGACGTTGCCCTCCAAACCACCCTGACGTTGCCCTCCAAATCACCCTGGGTCCAGCCCCTCCTCCCCCTACTGTGGGCAAGCTCCTCAACTTCGCTGGGTGTCTGGTGCCCTCTGTAAACGGGGATGACCACGCCCACTGCCCGCCGTGCTCAAGGATTAAGTGAGATACAGTGTGTAAGGGCCTGGCATATGGCGGCTGATAAACAGTAACCCTGATAAGAGTTATCATTTTAACCGTCAGGCTTTAAACATACTTCCCCAGGAGATAAATTTCTACCGAGATCCTCCAACCCCCCACAAAGCCCCAAGTCCACTCCTGACATTGCTGGGTCTGCCCTGCCCCCAACCCAAACCCCCGCTGTCCCCAGGGGCCCCTAAGGGAGGACCACCCAGCGGAAAGCGGCTGGTCCCGGGCCTGTGGGAGGGGCCCCTCAGGACTTGCTCTCCTCACGCTGGCAGGAAGGCCCTTTGCGGGTGCGTGGCTGGCTGAGGGGCCACGGCGTGAGGTGCTGGCGTGAGTCACATCCCACGCCTGCGGTCGGAAACTAACCGTTGCCATCCGCTGTGCACACAGTCCGGCACCCGTGACCTTCCTTGTCAGGTTCTTTCTTGTTGGCTCTGGACTTGGCCCCCACCCACCTGAAGGGGAGACGCCCAAACCCAACAGAAAGAGCAAGCAAACTCCAGCCTCCAAACCCAACCCAACCCAACTGTGGTCAGCCAGGCTGCACCTGCACAGCTCACCCCAGCACAGGGCACCCCGCCGGCCTCCCCTCACCCCGGTCCTCAGGGAAGTCTCTCACTCCACAGGACCCCTGGGGACACGGGTTTGTCACCAGGCAGGGAAGGTCAATATTTCAAACCCAGCGTGGAACATCGAAAGGGTTTCTGGTAAGTTTCTATAATGGCCTAACTGAAGTCCTCGGCTTTTTAAATTAAAAACAAACAAAAACAAAAAAAAACCTAAATATGGTTGAGCCTATATTTTCCTTTCACCATCAATAATAATAATTATTAATTAAAGTAATAACTATTAAGCACTTAAAATGTGCCAGCTCTCCATGAGGTGATTAGCATATGTTATGTGTTAATTTCACAATATCCAATGAAATGCACTTTATCTTCCATTTTACAGACGAGGAGGCTGAGGCCCTGTGAAGAGGCAGAACAGTAGGTGAATCCGGGGTCAGGATTCAGACTTTGTGATGGGATGGGGTGTCTCCCCTCCTTCTCCAAATTCCCCTTCCCCCAACACCCCCCCCCCCGCCCCCCGCCACGGCTCCATCATGCTGATGCTGACCCTTTCCCTTCATTCCCACCCTCCCGCCTGAACTTGGTGAAATAACCTGGAAATTTGGTTCTCCATGGGTCTGTGGTCTTGTGTTTTGACATCATGCCTCCTGTTTCAAGAATCCTTTCTTAGCTCGGCTGGGGTGGCTCAGCAGCTGAGCATTGACCCAGGAACCAAGGGATCACAGGTTCCATTACCTCCCGGTCAGGGCACATGCCTGAGTTGCAGGCATGATCCCCAGTGGGGGTTATGCAGGAGACAGCCAATCAATGATCCTTCCTCATCGATGTTTCTATCTTTCTATCCCTCTCTCCAAAAATCAATAAAATGTTTTTAAAAATACTTTTTTTAAAAAACAATCTTTTCTTAAAATTGTATGAAGTCTCCCAGTCACATTACCAACAGCTGTTCAGATTCAATTCTGAGTTTTATTCGTATCATTGTCTGTCTTATGAAGGCACCTTCCTCTCCTTGAATCCCTCCTGATTCCCTTTTCCAATCGGCTGGAGTATTTCATGCGTCAGGTCTTCATGAGAAATAGCACGTTTCTGTACACCACGCTTTCCTCTCTCTGTTCCACAGGAAAGACGAGGTTTTAACGTGGCCCCACTGTTCTGCTGACTCTGTGTCTTCTAGGGACACCCCCAGACGGACACACATTTAATTTTTTTTCCTCTTTATCCTTGGAATCCCTAAGTGCCTTTTAAAATCATTCCACCCAGCACTGGGGGAGCCTTTTTTAAAAATATGTTTTTATTTATTTCAGAGAGGCAGGGAGATGGAGAGAGAGAGAAACATCAATGACAAGAGAGAGTCATTGATTGCCTGCCTTCTGCACACCCCACACTGGGGATCGAGCCCACAACCTGGGCATGTGCCCTGACTGAGAATCGAACCAGTGACCTCCTGGTTCATGGGTTGACGCTCAACCACTGAGCCATGCCAGCTGGGTGGGGAGCATTTTTGACTTTAGCTCAAGGAAAACATCCTGTGTCTTTGATCATTGCTTCACCGCCACCATGTCCGTTCTCCCTTCCTGGAACCTGTGACATGAAAACAAAAAGGACCTCTTCATTTTCCTTCTTCATAAATAGTCCCTGTGGTCCGCACCTGTTTGCCTTTTCACTTGGGGGTGGCCACACTTCCTTGAACTGCTTTGGGCTTAATTCATTGCGCCAGAGCTCAGCTCTATCCCACCATTTACGGCCTCTACTGTTTTTCTTTTATTCTCCAAAATAATGTTTTATCTCCAAGACATCTTTTTTGAATCCCAATTGCTCATATTTTAACAGCAAAAGCTCTCATTTCCTTCCTTTAATAGCTCCTGAAATTTTCCTCAGGGAACGCATACTGGAACGATATGTTAGGTCCTCCATGTCTTGTGGCCCCGTGTCTGGGGACCTCTCATTGTCTGCACGGATGTGTAGGTCAAAGCTAAGACTGATGGATTTGGTAGCTAGTGTGGCTCTCTCTGCAAGCAGCCTAGGGGGAGTCTTCGGGAGAGAGTAGAGAATGGAATTGGGGGTGGGGGTCAGCGGACATGCTTGCTCTGGGGATGGGGCAGAGGATGGGGGGCAGGAGGGCTGGCTAAGAAGCAGCTCACAGGGGCTGGCTGCACTTTTGAGCCAGGTGGGTGGCGATGGGCCCTTTAGTCTGCAGGCAAAGGCTGAGGGGTCACTGTGGAGAATTCCTGGGTTTTTGATGAGTTTCCCATATCTGTTCCAGGCTTGTCCACCCACACTCCCAGCCTCTCTGCTGGTGGGATTTGGGGATGTCCCTGAAGGTCAAGGGAAAGGCCAGAGAAGCTCATACACAGCAGAGGCCGGGCATGTGTGGGCCCTCCATTGCTGCCTGCGACCCTCCCCCACCTTCTTTATTATGGCACCCAAAGGGCACTGCAGCGCTGCCCTCGCCCCCGGGGTCCCTGCTGAGGGCCTTGCCAGACCGGAGAATGTCCCTCGCCTCATAGCAGGCAGCCCCTGGGGACAATCGGAGGTCAAGGGCCACGCTGGCTGCTTTACACAGCAAGGACCCTGCCTGATTATCTGTCTCTTGAGGTCCCTTGCTTTCCCCTCCCCTGACCCCCAACAGGATGACCCACCAGGGCGACTCAGCTGCACCCTGAGCTCGGGCGGGCTCTGTGCCCTGAGCTTGATGGGAGGTGGTTTCGGTGGAACATGCTGCTTCTCTCTCCCGGGGGATGAAGCTGACCTGATGGAACTGGGCCCCACAGGAGTTCTGAAACCCCACTGAGCCCGGGGATGCCCTGGGAGGGGTTGTGACGATGCAGCTTCCACCTGTCCCCAGTGCAGCCTGGCTTGCATTTTCTCCGGCTTTTGTTTCCTTATTGTTCTCCTTCCCTCCTTCCCTCCTTCCCTCTTTTGCTTCTTCCTCCTCCGACAAACAGGTAAATCCACACAAAGGACGGTTCTGTCCCCAAGCGGCGCCCCTCAAAGCAGGTACTTCTGCATGCACACCTCGAATCTGGCCTCCGCCAGACTCGCAGCAGGGAAGGGACGCGCTGGAGACCTTCAGATGGTGACCAGAACGCATCCAGCACTTGGCGGAAGATGCCTGTGCAGCCAAAGGAATGGGTCTGCAGCCAGCGACCCACTTCTGGTCTCGCCACTGCCCGCACTGCCATTAATATTAATTAATCATGACAATGGAAAAGAGAATTGTGAACTCCAGAAGAATATGAGATACGGGAACAGGCATCCACTTGCTCCATGGGCTCCTCGCTGGTGTCTCCCAGCCTCCTTGCCCATATCTTCCCCACAAAAGCAACGAGGAAGACAGAACAGTGAGGTCACGGCGGGAAAAGAGGACAGTGGAACTGTTACCAGTGAGACGATGGGACCTCAGGTCTTGTCTTCTTGAAGGAAAGGTTTCAATCAATAGACAACGTGCAGCAAAGCAAGCAAGAATTCCTTGGCCAAAGCAAAACCACACTCAGGACAGCGAAACAAGGAAGGGCGTAGCAGCAGTAGGAGAGCCTGGGCTGGGCTGCTTTGGCTCACTGGGAGGTCAGAGAAAAGGGGGCCTCAGACAGGCGCAGGGAGTTAGCCTGGGATGTGCTGCTGCTGTCCATTGCTCCCCTGGTTGCAAGCCTCATGGGGCCCCTTAGAGGGAAGAAAGGGGAAGGGAATGGCACAGGCGTGCTCCCCTAAGGAAGAGTGCTCACTGGGTCCTGTGTCCTGAGTGTATTGCTCTCTCTCTTGCAGGCGGGAATCTCAGGGCAGGTCTCAGGGGAGGGTTTCAATAGAATATTCATCAGCTTCCCAGGTGTGCTCTTTCAGGGTCCTGGTCTCCACTGATTGGCCAGTGTCAGGGCAGGGGGTCCTTAGTCAATGCAGCTGGTTCTGAGGCAGCCATGGTGTCACTTGTCTGGTTTTACTACTTTTCTGGGCCTGGAGCTGACATACAAGTGAGGCCTAGATGCTATCTTTAGGGAGGAAAGGTCAGGGGAGGAAAGGCCACCCTGGGGGCCAGGTCCTTGTTTCCCCCTTGTTAAGCACCCAGGGCTTTCTGCCCTCGGCCCATTGTACTTGCTCTGCTCATGTCTGTCTAACTGCCTATAACAGAACCAGGCCCTGGAATGGGGTAAAGAGGAAGGACGACATGCAGATCAGCACCCCCAAATCCCAGATATACATCCCCAGTGGCCAGGTCTGTTACCTGAGCAATATGGATACGGGATGCTGTCTGTAGGGTCTCCTGGCCCATTGCGCATGGGGAATTCACATAAGCACGAACATTCCAAAGGCATGGGGGCAACATTGCGTATGTATGACATTTTGGACAAAGGAGACATGGTGGGAGGGAGCAGGGTCTTAGGTTTCAGAAGTGAAACGGGGGATTTACAGGTAGTGAGGAAGGGCAGAGCACACGTGGCAGGAAAATTCCTGTCGGGCAGCCCAGATACAATGGGACACAGGTGTGGGGTGGGCGCAGGCTCTGCCAGCAGTCTTCCTGTCAAGCCCAGTGCTGAGGTGATTATGCTAAGGCTCCCATCCTGAAGCAGGTATTTCTACCTGAACCTCTCGGGCAGGAAAGGGGGAGGGTCAAGATTCTTTCTGAGTCTTGTTTCTTTCATAAATATAAATATAAATATAAATATAAATATAAATATAAATATAAATATAAATATAAATATAAATAAATATAATCTTGTTTCATCTTTCTCTTCTCTTATTTTTAAAACTGATTTGTTATTGATTTTTTAGAGAGAGAGAAACATCAATGAGAGAGAAAAACATCAGTGTTTCAAATCCACAACCTGGGTATGTGCAATGGGGAATGGAGCCCACTGCCTTTTGGTGTATGGGACGACACTCCAACCACTGAGCCACACCAGCCAGGGCTGAGTCTTTTGTTTCTTAATAACTGGCTTAACTATCAATATCCCCCAAAGCACAGCTTTTCTGGAGGGGGTGGGGGCTATGGCAAACCTTTGGTCCCATCATCTGCAAACTTAAGGCTCAGCTCTCATTTTGCATTTTTCTCTTCACTGTTAACACGGTGTCTGAGACACAGGAATAGTCATATGTTGACAATGACTTAACACACAAGGCATAAATGGAGAAACCAAAGAAAGATAGTACAAAACAGAAGTTTTTCCAAGGGGGTTTTTTAGTTTAAACTACTTTGTTTAAAATACCTTCTTATTGATTTCAGAGAGATGAAGGGAGAGAAAGAGATAGAAACATCAATGAGAAAGAAACATCCATTGGCTATATGCCCCTATGCCTCTACTGGGGATAGAGCCCACAACCCCAGCATGTGTCCTGACCTGGCATCGAATTGATGACCTCCTGGTACATGAGACTATGCTCAACCAACTTGTTCAAACTATCTATATATATAAAAGCCAAGCAACTGGAATGACTGAAATGACCAGAACAACCAGTTGCTATGATGCGCACTGCAGCCAGCCAACTGGCCCGATCTGGGGCAGGGCCGGCTGGCCAACCTCCGGCAGTCCCTCCCCCAGGCCAGCAGGCCCCAATTGCCCCATTAGGCTGGGCCCTGGGCGGGGACAGGGAACTGGGGGTGGGTGTCGACGGGCATGGCCCCTTTCCCAGGGGGGCCAAGGCCAGCTCCCTCCTCGGGGCCTGTGACCAACATCCTGCAGCCCCTCCCCCAGCCAGCAAGCCCTGGTGGCGGTGCAGTGGTGAGGGAAGGAGGAGGGGAGGAGGCAGAGAACCTCACGGTGGCGGGGCACTGAGGGTGGCATCCGAGTCCGGGATCCGTTCCTTCCTCTCCCAGCCTGGCGACCGTCACCTCCTCTCCCGACCCCCCCAGGGCCTTCGGACCCCAATTGGCCTGGCCCCGATTGGTCTGGCCCCAATCGGCCCTGATTGCCAGCCAGGCCTAAGGACCCCACCTGTGCACGAATTTTGTGCACCAGGCCTCTAGTTTTTATGATAATACTAAAATGTTACTTCCATCTTCCATGCTCATTCTCTCCTGCATGTTGGGTAGAATTTTCCAGAAGCTTCTTAACAGACTGAATGCAGGACATAGGAGAATCTAGCTGCCTTCTATTAACACCAGATAGAGGTTTTCAAAAACTGTAAAAAAACATCATTCTTCTCACTAGGTTTTAAAGTATAGTTTTAATTAAAATGTTACTTATGTTGCTGTGTGATGGGTTTATTATTAAATGAGTTGTTACATATTGTTTAAATCTCTTCGTTTTTTAAAAAAATATATTTTATTGATTTTTCACAGAGAGGAAGGGAGAGGGATAGAGAGCTAGAAACATCGATGAGAGAAGAACACCGATCAGCTGCCTCCTGCATACCTCCTACCGGGGATGTGCCCGCAACCAAGGTACATGCCCTTGGCCGGAATCAAACCTGGGACCCTTCAGTCCTCAGGCCAAATCGGTTAGGGCTAAATCTCTTCGTTTTATTTCCTAATTTGGTAACTTTTGATAAATGCCATCCCCATAAACAACAGCTATTTGGGGTCCTCAGTTCTTGAGGGCATAAAGGGGCCCTGAGAACCCGTTTGAGGAGGGCTGGTGCAACAGGGAGCCAAAGCTCGTGGTCACAGTAGCCAGAGCCAGTGAACACCAACAAACCATGAGGACAGTCTCTCCAGCCAAGCACCACCGATTTCCGATTTCCGGAAGCAACCCCTGGTTAGTTCCATGGGCTGGAGGGGGGACCCTTTCTCACCTTTAGGGATGTGTTTAGTGACCACACTGGCTCTTTGCAAGGAGGAGGCCCATCTCACTCCAGGCTCTGGTTTCCCTGAGTGGACCAAGGAAGTGATGGCTGCCAGTGGAAGCGGGCACAAAGGCTGGAGAGGGAGAAGAAAGGGGGCGAGGAAAAAAGGGAGGGAGGAGGAGAGAGGAGGGGAAACCTGTAGGTGCAGTGAGGGAGAATAGGCCAGCTGAAGATGTGTGTGTGTGTGTGGTGCGGGGGGGGGGGGGGGGGTACTATCAGGGAGTGAGGGGTTCACTTCTCCTCCCTCTCCCTGCATGGCTTCCCAATACTATAGGAGGTGGTTTCCTTCTTGGAGAAGCGCTTCCAGAATGATAGGAAGGAAAACCCATGTTACCCCACAAGAGGACGGCCACATGTGACCGCCATTAAAACACCTGGAAAGAAAATCATTGTTCCCCAAATCCCGCCAGCACCGGCGTTCTCAGTCCGGATCCAGAACTCGGGGCCAGGCGTGGGGGCTGTCACTCGTGCCGCACCGTTTTCTGAGGAGACAGCTCTGCCATCCATTAAGGCTGCAGACGCTAGATCTCTAATGCACCAGCTCACCTGCAAACCTGAACTGGCCCTCTTCAGATTAAAAGCTCACGCATACACTAGATGGAGCCAGGAGTTTCCTGAAGGACAGACCTTAATTCGACTCGATTTTTAAAAATTTCCCTTGTGGTTTTTAATTATTAGAGAGAGCAAATGTCTCTGATGTTGAACTTACCCATCACGCGGCCTCTGTGTCAATGTCCTTAAGGCATCCCACGTGCTTCTTATAAGGTTACCTTCCCCTGAGAGCTGTCCGCATGGCCTTTCAAACCCCCAAGACTGGACACTGAGGAGTATATCACTCTTAAATTACAGCTCCTCCACAACCTTGATTTTGAAATGCGAATATATGAATGTATTAGCTCGGAATAAGCATGCAGATTTATGGAGAATAGCCATTTCGCTTTTATCAAGGGACCCAACGGGGCCTCTCTTGGTGTGCCTGGGGATTTGTTAAAGTTGGGATGTAGTTTGGGGGAAATGTGATGTAGCGTTAAAGTCATCTAAAAATCAATACAGCTGAAGCTCTCCGACATAACGGTCCCTCGAAGAGCTACAGCTGATTCTAACATTGAGAAGCCAGGAATAAAAGTCAAATCTAGAGTAGAAGTCACTGGAAATTGCAGTGAGGAGGGAAGCTGGGCGCCAGCCATCCCAGTGTGAGAGGATGGACTTGTTTCCTTTAAACACCTGACATATATTCAGCTGTTGGAGGTAGAAAGGTTTTTCTACTCCTTGTTTCGGCAGAAATCGATGGACTTAGCTTGTGGAATTGTCCTCCCTGCGTTTAGTAGCTAAAATAAAATAATCCTCATTGCTTGAATTACTAAACACATCTCTGCAGTCCAGGGGGGTCTACAGACAAGCAAGTGTTAATTAGATAATCCGGCGCCTAGAGCGGCTGGGGGTGGGGTGCAGAGGGACTCCGCAGCCCTGGTTTTGGGTGGTGGGATGGTGTCAGCAACTTGCCAGGTGGACTCAGGGCATCCTGCAGGCGGTGAGCAGGCGGCGCCCAGCAGCATCAAATCTGCATCGCTGAGGAGCATGGGGCGGAGAAGTCCAGGGTCAAAGCCAGTTTCGGAGACCCCCTCCCCCAGCGGGAGACGGTGGGCGTCTGGCTGCAGCGAGAGCAGCCAAGCCTCCCCCTCCTCCCCCATCCCGGGGCCCCAGGATTTCCTTGGAGAAGTCTCCCAAGCTCTCGAGTCCTCGCCTGCCTCCCCCCAGACCTTGATCCGACCACTTCAAAATCGCGGAGGCCGCAGTGGGGCGGAGGGAGGGAATGAGCAGGAATGGGGGCCTGGGGTTGGGGTGGGCGCACGGGAGAAGCCCCGGGAAGCGGCCAGCCTTCGGTGGGCTGGAGGGCGGCCCTAATGCACTTGGCGAGGGGGGGCGGGGGCGCAGACTCGCTGACTCCGCAATGCTCAAGCCTCCTTTACGACTCCCTGCTCTCCTCTCGGATCCGAGCCACCCCTGCAGCCCCGCCTCTGCGGGGCCCGAGGACACCGGCGGCGCGCCCTCCGCGCGGGGCCGGGGGTTCAACTCAGGCCCTCGCTTCCCCTTTAAGGGTTTCCGAAACTTTCCCCCCTGGTATCAGATGAGCCTCGTCACATCCGTTGGCCGCGGCCGCCGGGGCGCGTTCCGAGGAAGTTCAGGACACGAGTTTCCCCGGGGAGGAGGCGCGGCCCGAGGCCGGCGCGTGTGGGCAGGGCCGGCCCGGGGAGCCCAGCGGACCCCGCGCCGCGCTGCGACCTTGGCCGCGCCGGAGGGGCCCGGCCCTTGCGGGGCAGCCACCGCCCGCCAGAGGGGGCAGCGGCGACCAACTTGCTCAACTTGGCGGCGCGGGCTGTGGCGGCTCGGCGCCTCCCTCTCCTCCCCAGCCTCCTCCCCCGGCCCTCCTCCCATCCGCCGCCGCCGCCGGCCCGGGGCGCGCCCAGCCCTTCCCCGCAGCCCCGCGCCGCGCCGAGTCGGGTCGCACGCAGAGTCGCCGGCGGGACAGGACGGGCCGGGTCGGGCGCGTGCCCCGGGCCCCGCCGCCGGCATGGGCGCGCTGGCCCGGGCGCTGCTGTGGCCGCTGCTGGCCCAGTGGCTGCTGCGCGCCGCCCCGGCGCTGGCCGCGGCGCCGTTCACGCTGCCCCTCCGCGTGGCCGCAGCCACTGGCCGCGGGGTTGCGCCTACCCCCGGGCCCGGGCCCCCCGCCGTGCCCCGCGCCGACGGCCTGGCTTTCGCCCTGGAGCCGGCCGGGGGCGCGGCCAACTTCTTGGCCATGGTGGACAACCTGCAGGGGGACTCTGGCCGCGGCTACTACCTGGAGGTGCTGATCGGGACCCCCCCGCAGAAGGTAGGTCGGTGGGCGCTCGCCCGTCCACCCGGACCGGCGCCCCGCCAACCCTGCAGTCCTCCGGCTGTAGCCGCGGGGTCTAGGGGGCTCGTGACCCCAAGGCAGGCTGGAGTGGGGGGTGGGGGGTGGGGGGCGCAGAGGGCTCCTCTGGGCCAGAGCGGGTCGCGCGCCCTCGGCAGCGGTGGCAGCCCCGCCGGGGCGCAGCCCAGGGGTGTGTGCACGTGTTTCAGAACTTGTTCATCCCCCGCTCGGCTTGGCTGGGCAGCGAGGGGAGACCTGTAACTTCCATCGCAGGGACATTCCTTCTGGCGGCGACGCCCCCTTCCTGCCCGGAGACCGTGCCGCGGGCCTTGGGCGCGAGGCTGTGATTCGGGGGGAAGCGCTTTGTGTGACTATTGACACCCCACCCTTCCCGCGGGGCGCATTGCGAAGGAGGCAGGTGGCCGGCTCCGGCGGCGCCGTGAGCTTGGAGAGGGGTTCGTGCGTGCGCTCGGCGGGAGGCTGCGGGCCCGCGGGGCGAGCTGGCTGCGGGGCGAGCCGCGTTCCTCTCCCGGAGGCGGCTCCTTCAGCCGCCGGCCCCTCTGCTCGGAACCAAGTGTCCGCACACGCGGGTGAAAAGTGTTAACGCAGTCAGGCTGCTGGGGAAGCAGAGCGGCTGAGCCAGGCTTTCGGGGACCCAGTGGTCCCCCGGTAACAAAGTATCATCAAACAGCTTTCTTTCTCCTTCTCAGATGGATTTTCATTTATCAGCACTTTCTGTAGCAAGAAATAAATGTCCCCAGCCAGGCTCGGTCATCTCAAGAAAAACAACATCCCAGGAATCGATTTGACCCTCCTCTTCCTTCCTCATCAAAGTGTGATTTGAAGTCAGATCTTTCTTATCAGTAGAATACATTGTCTGGAGATACTTTATATTTACTTCTAACATTGTCATTTGGGTTCTAATTCAGCTGTGATTCCTCCATAAATAGAACAGACTCATGACTTCGGTGTAATTCTAATTAAATTATTCAAGACTTTCTTAAGAGAAACGGCGTGCCATGCTAATGCTTTTTAAAAAAGAAACTACTGAATAACTTCCATACTTGTTTAATTCGTCTTTTAAAAAACCTTCAAAAATGGATTCTGCTCAAAACTTTGATTCCAGTTCCCTTCATTTGCGCGTTGTCTCTGCCATCTGCAGGGTGGCTGGAGGCTGGAGGCCGGAGGCTGGAGGGAGGGCAGTTCAGGGAGTGGGAGGGAGTCAGCTGAGGAGGCTTAAGGGACCACAAGATGCTGGTGAGATCCACGTGAAAACATGTGCTGGGTGGTGAGAGCATTGTACGTTTCCGTCTCACAAGATCTCACACGATATTGAGGATGGACCTCTTTGTGGCCTAAGGATAACCTTGGGGAACAGGCCCTAAATGCCTCTCCATTTGGAAAAGGCGTGGCTTGGTGAAGAATTCATGTTTATTTTCGAGTAGGTGGGAATTCTCTCTATTGAGGTCACGCAGATTTCGGGGGCTGTGATAAATGGGCCCTGATGCCCATCTCCCTCCAGAGAAGAGGGGAAGGGAAAAAGCCTAAGGAAGAACTAAAAAATATTTCTCACCCGGCTGGGCTGGCGTGGCTCAGTGGTTGAGCATCGAATTGGTCACAGTTCGTTTCCCGGTCAGGGCACATGCCCAGGTTGTGGATTCGATCCCCAATGTGGGTTATGCAAGAGGCAGCCGATCAGTGCTTCTCTCTCATCATTGATGTTTCTATCTCTCTCTCCCTCTCCCTCTATGAAATCAAAAAAATATATATTAAAAGATAAAATAAAAATATTTCTCTTGGGCTCCTCAAAACAAAAAATATTCCATAAATAATAGCTTGTCTTTATTAATCAATAATCTTTGCTTTAAAACGAGGAAGCTTCAGTTACAGGAATGTATTGAGTACCTGATGCTCATCATATCTTTACCTAGTCCAAGGAAGAAGTTTACTCAAGGTTATTTCTCAGAGAAATGTTAGCATGTTTCCAGGGAAGGCTGTTTTTAACAATCTACCTATAACTTTTACATTTGACAGGAAATGAAATATTCTGTGCCTCTTTCCTGGCCCGATTTAGTAATAAGCTGCTTTATAGCAGGTCTATGTGTGTGATCTTTGCAAATGCCTCCTGTGAACTCTTCGGTGGTGGTGACAAGTGCATTAGGATTGGTTTTTCCCAGTCTCGCCTGCGGTGTCTGACCCCCAGCAGGTGTTCACAGCAGGTTCCCCGCGCAGCCAGCCTGCACCGTGGGGTGACTTCTGAACCCAGAGTGAGCCTTCCTGCTCCCTTCGTGGCCAAGACTCATGATTTATATTCTCTGTGGATTCTCTGAAGCCTAAAACTTGCTTAGGTTGAGAGAAAAATGGAATTATAAATTCAAGTGGTAAACAGCCAACACTTTTGGGAGAATTAAGTAATAGTCATAGACAGTGTGAAGGGCTCCCCTCCGGCCAGCACAGTGCCATGGGGTGTGTGTGTGTGTGTGCGCGCGCGCGTGCTGATCCAGGGGTGCCTCACAACCACCTCATGGTTCTCATCCCTCATCCCTGTTGATGGGGTGGGAAGACTGGGACTTGGAGAGGCTGAATGACTTCCCCAGGGCAACAGGACAAGGAAGCAGAAGTTGAACCAGGAGCTGGATTCCAGAACCCAAGTTCTGAACCACCAGGCAGAACCTGCTCCCTTGTCTTCCTGCCTCATGGCTTCTTTGCATTTTGACTTCAAAGATCCCTGGACCCTACACCCCAAGGTGTTAGGGATTTAATGTGCAACCAAACCTGGTCTCTCCCACTCCCCCATCTCTTCCTCTTCCTTCTGGGCATAATGAATAGTTGGATGCAGGTTTGCATGGGAGAGAAAGTGAGAGAGAAGATTCAACAGGAACCAGAGCTCCCCCGCCCCCCACCCACCCCCTTAGGAAAACCAGCTGTTGGACATGGGCTGGTTCCCTGAATGCTTTAATCAAGAACTGGGGCTCCTTGTTCTGCCTGACACTCTTCAAGGCGTGACAGGGATCTGCCCAGAAGCCCCGGGAGAGCAGGACCCCGTTGGCATGGAGATGAGAGCTGGGTGTTTGTGACCATTATGTGACTTCTGACGGTAGAGAACCCGAACCCACCCGAGCAGTGTGGTCTTATTAATAATAATAATGGTGTCCTAAAGTGATTATAATTGCAGCAATTTCCATGATAAAAAAAGGACTTTCATGCTAACCCAGTAAATCTAACAGAAGATGCTAAAGGTCTGCATCTCTATACCTGGTAATGGCTTTGAAAAGGCTTCAGGGGTTTCTGTTGAAAGATTTCTGTCATCTCCGCTAATATGGGTAAAACAGGCAGCAAAATGATTTTCATAGTTAAACATCTGAATGTAAAAGAAGAAGCCCACATTATTCTGGGCACTCGCATTGTAATCATGGTGCGTTGGCTTGATTATTACTTAGTACGCAATTTTTGGGAAGGATTTGAACTGAAAATACGAACCAAGCCTATGCAACTTAGGAGTAAGCCATCCAGTGTCCCCAGATTGCATTAAGCTCCCTGCCAGCCAGGCTGAAAAACAGGAAGGCGGCGGCCAGCAAGAAGAGATGTGATAGAACAAACCGAGAAGGTAAACAATTAAGGGAAAAGGAAAAGATTAGTGGGGTTAAAAGAACAAGAAAGTCAGAGCTAGCGTCTCCGCGGCTTCTGTGCGTGAAGGTGGCAGCCTCTGAGCTGGAGACAGAGTTCAACATGGGTGGCCCTGCTAGGAAGGACGGCAAAGGCCCACCCAGGACATCGGCGCAATCACCTGGGAGGCGTGGTCTGAGAAGCCGTTCACCACCCTGGCATTGACCGCCAACCTTTAATTCAGGCGTATAGCGTGCTGGGCACCACGCTAGGTGGTCTGCACAGGTCGCCTCATCTCATCCTCGCAACAGCCTTTGAAGTGTGTATAGTTATTTGACTTCATTGTCAGCCCGAGAGGCCAAGTGCTTTGTCCAAGGCCACCCTGGCGAGTGGCCGAGCTGGGAGAGCAATCGGGTCTGCCCAGTCCACAGTCCGAGCCCCGCACCACTGCTCTTGCTGTGCACGTGGACTTTTTAAATAACTACCTGGCCCAGCTGGCGTGGCTCAGTGGTTGAGCATCGACCTATGAACCAGGAGGTCACGGTTTGAGTCCTGGTCAGGGCACATGCCTGGATTGTGGGCTGGATCCCCAGTGTGGGGCGTGCAGGAGGCAGCCAGTCAATGATTCTCTCTCATCATTGGTGTTTCTGTCTCTCTCCCTCTCCCTTCCTCTCTGAAGTCAATACAAATATTTTTAAAAATAAATAACCAACCACCCTCATTCGCTGTGAGTTGTGTGGGTGTAGTGGGAAGCGTCCTGGACTTATTGTGGGGCCTGGACGCGGGTGGCATTGCACACAAGGTCACGGGCAGTTGATCAACCCCCTCTCCCCCGTGTTCTCCGTTTCTCATTAGTTAATGATCTTTGCGTTTTTCTTTTCCTGAGGCTGCTGCAATAAATGACCACAAACTAGGTGGCTTAATAGAAATGTGTTTTCTCACAGTTCTGGAGGCCAGAAGTTCAAAATCAGGGTGTGGGCAGGGCCCTGCTCCCTCCAGGGGCTCCAGGGGAGGGTCCTTCCTGCCTCTCTCAGCCCCTGTGGCTGCTGCAGGGCTTGGCTTTCCTTGGCTCTTCACTGCATTACTCCAATCTCCACCTCCATCCTCACGTGACAGTCTCCCTGCCGTGTGTGTGTGTGTGTGTGTGTGTGTGTGTGTGTGTGTGTGTCACTGCGCTGGGGCCCACCCCAATCTGTTCTGACCTCGTGTTAGCTTGATGACATCTGTAAAGACAGTTACCGGGGTTTAGAACTCCAACCTGTCTTTTTGAGGAGACACAGTTCAACGCACAAGTTTGTTCTGAGTTTATTGTTCCATGGATTTTTTTCTTTGTTTCTAACCCATCTTTTAATTGCCAATAACTCTGACTTGGA